TGGACTGACCGTGCTGTTGTGTGTGGGCTGACCGTGCTGCGTGTGGACTGGCCGTGCTGCACGTGGACTGGCCGTGCTGCACGTGGACTGGCCTGACCATACTGCATGTGGACTGACCATGCTGTGCGTGGACTGACCGTGCTGNCGTGTGGACTGGCCTGACCATACTGCATGTGGACTGACCATGCTGTGCGTGGACTGACCGTGCTGTTGTGTGTGGGCTGACCGTGCTGCGTGTGGGCTGACCGTGCTGCACATGGACTGGCCGTGCTGTGTGTGGACTGGCCTGACCATACTGCATGTGGACTGACCGTGCTGCGCGTGGGCTGGCTGTGCTGCGCGTGGACTGGTCGTGCTGCGTGTGGACTGATGTGGGCTGACCGTGCTGTGTGTGGGCTGACCGTGCTGCATGTGGATTGGCTGTGCTGTGTGTGGACTGGCCATGCTGTGTGTGTACTGACCGTGTTGTATGTGGTAATTTAGTTTTCTCATCTGTCTTCTCAAAGATATCACCAACAATTCTACAGCAATAAATTGTCCAAACATGAAGATTCGCCTCGCTCTGCTCCATCAGCTCTCGTGTGAATAATCATCCCTCTCTCACCCTCTTCTGTTCCGAAAAACAAACCAACCAACATGGGGGGACTTTTTCCATTGACTGGTTTACTCTCCTTCTGTATACCTGAGGGGGATCTTCCTTCCTTTGGGGTCTTTGTCATGTCCTTCAGATGTTGGGGTGTCCTCTGTGGGGGTCTCCAGCTAAATCAGCTGACCCCACAACTTTGTGTGGAACCTGAAATGAGCAGCCTATGGAGAACCTGCTCATTGAATACTCAGATCTTGCCTATTTAATCACCATGTTCAATCAACCCCAGGACCTATGTTTTAGGGTTCAACACCCCTGAATTGGGCTGTTCCTCACAGCAGTTGTGTTCTAATGCCAGCCTGGACAAGGTCAAGTTCTTCCTGAAGGGTTTGTACTTTATGGTGCCCCCTGGGGGCACTGCCACTTTGGAATCTCTTTAAAAAATGAAGTGATGGTGGGTTTCACTTGTAAATTTTCTCCCAGAGTTCTCTCTGGACCCCACTCAACCTTTGATTTCCAGAAACGGGAGTTCAAGGCCAGGGTTTGCCTCTGGGGCCCTGAAGACCATGTTGTGCCTAGGAAATCCTGCCTGACACCGTGCTGGCTCCGAGGCAGAAGGCTTTTCTCTAGGAAGCGCCAGGGTGGACCCAACAGCCGGCTCCACAGAGAAGGCCTCAGAGCAGGCAGGCCAGGAACGCCTCCCGCCCACCCTCCTCAGACCGTTTCTAGGAAGCCAAACACCCGTCCACTTTGATTTTCCCGAATCTTGCAACATCTGTTTACCAACGGTTTTGGCCAGCTTATGGCTTTTTTTGGGAGTTTCTGTGCTAGCACTGTTGAACTTTGCCTGGGAACATTACACAAGAAGCAAACTGTAAGGGACGTCTGGGAGACACGCGCAGGCCCTGCCTGGAGCCTTTTCTGTTTACTGAACATTCATTTGGTTTTCATGGCATTTAACTTGAGGCCTAGGGACAGTCCAGATTGCAGCAGGCGAGGACTCAACATTGCACCCGAGGAGAGAAGGAG